ACGCCATTTTAGCAGTAATTTTTCGAGTTTTATTCGACCTAAATAAATTTCCTCTGTGTCCAACGGCTTAAATTGGGTAATGTAGATGGAGAATAGCGTCGCAAAATTACAAAACAAGAGAGGGAAACTTGCGGTTGTTTAATGAGATTTAAATAATTAATGAGCGTGCAAAATTGGTTTCTTTTTTCAGGCAGCGGAGTGCTTCGGGGGCTCCGATGAAAAATAAGCCATAATTGCAACCCCGACCGGCGCGCGAACACGACAAGCGTAGCGCCAACACCGCCTCGCGACAAACATTACCCAGCGAGGGATCTCTCCGCCGATCATTATTTATAAAGTTAAACTTTTAATTGCTATCGCTATAAATCTTATTAAGACCCCAATTAAACTTTCAGGCTACTGCTCAAATGTTCATTATTAGTCAATGTAAACCATTAAAATTGTCGATTTAAATCGGAACTTACTTCATTACATATTTTAGTTCATAACACATTCTTGCTTTTCCTTATAAACAATATTAAATCGTCAGCTTATTCATACACATTTTTGTTAACTTTGATGTTCTTGATGAGCAGCTAGTGATTACTAAATACTATCTATATGACGAAAGTAAGTACCTAAGTTATAATATGTCTTCTACTCAGAAACCATTGCAAATAAAATATTATCTACCTATAGTCAAATGAAATAAAAAAAATATTAGTTGAAACGTAAACAAATTATATTTAAAATGAAAAAAATCAACTGTTGACTGGTTTGCCGTTCCCACAGTGAGTTTGGTTTCACTGAGCACTTATTGTAACTAGGCAGCTATGTGCCAACGTATAAAGATCTTATCAAATGTCACATATCTACTGAACAGTAAATTTTCGTTATTTCCCTAAAAAGGGCGCCCTAGTACATTTACATATCGAATGACGGAGGCTCCTAGCAATTGGTTACAAAAGCGCGACCGTTAGTCAAGATTCCGGATGATTGATTCCAAAATAATTGTTTGTACATTTCTTACGTTTTCGCTAAAAATGCAACTTTCAGTTCGTTGACTTTATAATAATGAAATCTTGTTATCATGATATCTAACAAAATATGTAAACGGAACAATGTTCTTATTCAAATGTGTGTGATTGACATCTCGCCGGGCGGTCAGCGGCGAGCCGACGTTTTGCAAGATTTGCCTCCCTTCGCGAGGCACGCCCTACCACAGCTACAGCTACGAAGCTATTGTAAATCTGACCACGATCAAAGCGATTGTGATCAAATCCAAAAACTATTTAAATTTCATTCACCACCAGAAGCTGTTTTCAACAATTCGCTGGGAATTTCCGTTATTAGTTAGACCACTGTTCCGATTCATTGAGAGTCGTCGGTATTTTATACTGATTTTTATTACAAATTCAATGTGCATAAAATGTAAAGGGCGGTTCGTACTGTCTATCTTCTAACATGTTCACCGCATAAAGTAGGAAGATACTTATCTAATAAGATGAAATAATTTAGGTATTTTACGTAAAATTAAACCTGATACGAGAACTAAAACTAATTCAAGAGTTATTAAAACATCATAGTCTTAGTAAACACCCTCTACCCTGTGCACACCACACGTGTAATTTAAACGTGCCTGCTATAAAGTGCCTAGTTACCTCATTACCAGCTGCAGATGTGTGCTGCGCTCGCGTGCTGTACTTGTGCCACCCCAGGCCCCGTCAAACAGCTTCACTACACAAAAAACGCGACCAGATTGTTTACCTCACTTTTTACCTTTTTTAAAACTACTGTTTAGCTTTTTATAAGTATTTTTGTCGTCGAGCACGCGGCCACCGCCTTTATAGAGATATCATTCAAGCGTTTAAAGATAGGTGCAGTCTATTGTGATGGGAGACGTCAAGGCTATTCATTTTTAATGTTTATTTAAATACAGATAATCGGTGGATTTGTTGAAGGCCTCGATTTTTATAAATTTAATTTGTATCTATGTTTTTTTCGTGTTGTGTCACTTTTAGGGGTCTTTAAATGATAGGGAGTAAACTGATTTGATATTGAAGCGTAGTATCTTTGTATAAGGAAATGTATTTTAGATGTTTGCTTTCTTTTTCACAAGTGGATAAGTAGTATGTTCAAAACTACTTTTCTTAATTAGGTATTCTTATCTTGATAACTTTGCACAAGACTTTTACAACCTGAAATGTTTTTTCACCAATTCATCCTAGTGGTAAGTACCTATTAAACTGTCAAACACCAAGCGGTCACCGGTGACCGCAACCTATTGTTCTATAATTGTGTCTACAAAACCGGTACTCGACGAGTTAATGTGGCAAACGATAGAGTTCTGGTAACACAAACTGTGGCAAGGAATTCCACTCTTTAGTGGTTCTTATAAGGAAACTCGAAGCAAAACTTGGTGTGAGTGGGTGGGACATACCTAAGTACCAAATATAATAAAAAACCATCTAGCGGTGCCGTTCTAGTGTTCATTTGGTGGTGCGATATTGAAGTAAAGTAAACTAGAGGCAAATTATTTTGCAGTCGATCTTCAAATGTGACAACTCTAGTGAGATTAACGTTAAAATAATAAAAAATAGAATAAGGAAGGATGCAAAAATTCCATCTAAAGCAGATTCTAGTTCATGGCACTCGAATGAAAAGGTACCTATTGTGAGTTTTTCTATGTCTATTTATGTAATGCAGTTTTTTGCGAAACATTTTTATTAAAGTTTTGTCTTCGTCTCAACAGCGATGGACGTGACATTGTTGTTTTATTTGGAACTGTTTTTCCTCCAACTTTAGGTATATCATATAATTCTTAGGTACAGTAAACCACCGACTTATGCAGGCTACAGGCCTTATACAGTCTACGCACCCTATGATTTAACTGTAAAGTCGAACTATACTATTCTATACTAAACAACAACCACGATATAACTGTGCAGTTATATCTCTTTCTTGTTTAGATTAGTCAAAAACTGCTCAGTTAAATCGTAGGTCCATACAGTCTATACACCTTACGGTAAGTCGAACTGTACCTACAGTTTTCCTATCGATTATCGTATGGTGTCGTGCATTATCTAAACTTAGGTAACTGCATTAGGTAGTTAGCTGCATTGTATCTATTACATATACCTAATAATCAAAGAAGTTTTTAGTATAATAAATATCGTGAGACATACTAAACTGACTGAAAATAAATACCTAATAGGTTCTAACATGAACTAAGTGAAGTAAAGTAAGTACAGATTTCTCGGCTTATTTTGTGAGTAAGCTGCTATTTTAATTAATATAGTTGCTTTTCATGGGTTAGAGGATAAGTAATCAGTAAGAGGAGGTAAGTAATCAGCGCCGCCATGGACACCAAATGAAATTCATTGCGATATCATGGCCCAATTTAACAAAACAACTTAACTAAAAGTTACTTAGCGTGACGTGCCACCTGGACCAACCCCTTAATTTTACTATAAAGTATCACTTATAGATTGGTGAAAACCAAAATGTCATAAAATGTCACCTATCTTACCTTAGGGGGTTCCTTAAAATTCAGGAGAGGTAGGTGAACATAGGCATTAACCTTTTATACTTAGTTAAAATTTTGTTGTACCTATCACTGAATAATAATAATAATAATGTAGATAGATAATACTCACTTTCATACAAAACAGTAGTTAATTAAGACACTCTGTAATCAGATCAGTGGTAAAATAGAATACTATATACTTTTTATATACTTGATAGGTTAACGTTTGGTCACCATCTCATCTCGCCTGGAGGTAAGCGATGATGTGGTTACGGAGTCGTGGAGAACCGGGTTACCAGGGCTCCGGCTCGAAGTGCAGGAGTAGGAACAGGGTGGTTTTTAGTCAGTAAGAGTCTGACACTCCTTCCCGCCTCACCCAACACTCCTTCCCGCCTCACCCAGGCGGGAGCAGTCATTCGATGATTTTCCTCTCTTAAAAAAAAAGCAATGATGTGGCCGACGATGGAGTACGGGACTAACTCGGGACTTGAAGACACTCTTGTTGTATTTGTCAGGAAACGCAGATATCGGCAAGGAATTCAATTCCTTATCGGTTCACACAAGGAAACTTGATGCGAAACGCTTCGTGCGAATACGTGAAATGTCCACCATATAAAGGTGGCGCCCTGCGGATCGTCTGATCTATGATGGTGACACGAACTAGGGGGATAAAATTGTGCAAGTCTCACGCACACTCACCGAAATGTATGCTATAGAAGACCGAAAGGCTTGCAACTTTAGGCATATGTTTGAAGTTTTGAAGCCTTCTAAGTACCAATTTTATCGGAGGAGCAGCCATCAATGACCACTCAAATCAACCGATCCCTCAGTACCCCAGCATCCATCTGCACAAACCAGTGGGGAGGTTATACGCAGTAAGCTTGGCAACAAGGCAACTTACCCGTAGCTACAGTTAAAAAAAGTATGTACTAAAAAAAGCGATTGTAAAAATAATTTCTTTCTCTTCAACAACAGATTACAAGACAACTTTGTTCCTGAGTAAACTGCTCAGTAGTAAATAAGGGTAGTTTCATAATTGTTATAATATGTATGAGGGCCTCCAGCCATGCGCCAGGAAAAATGGCAGTTTCCAACTGGTCAAATTCAATACTTGTTTCGACAAGTCAGTAAGATAATTATTTACCAAATTATTATTTTTTCGTAAAGTACTTACGTGCACTTATTTTAATTTTTTAATGCAAGAAAAACGTGAATTAATTATATCGTTAAGTCATTCGTAAGTATTGGTGATGTACCTATAGTCACATGACCAATATGACTAATTTGCTCAAATAAATATAAAATTCGAGATGAATCCATGAAATGAAATGAATATTTTCCATATATGTCACAAAACAGCGTGTTTATACGTAAACATAAGAAATATTCAGGGATAAGCGATATTCAGCACTTCAAATCCAAAGTTGATAAACATTCGACTTGTTAAAAGGGGCGACATCTATCGGGTCAGTAAAGTAAAAATAAAACGACATGGTAGTAAGAATGCTAAGTTTTTATTGCAACAAAATGCAACGGAATATGAAAAAGTAAATAAATATTCATTGTATGTATTAATTTACAAAGTTTTAATACTGAAACAATTATTGCTTTACAACATGAGTTTGCGAGTATCTATTTCATTTCATACTTTCTTTCTGAATGCAATTAAAATTAACTGATTAAATTATTTTCACAAACTCTTGTTAATCATTTAAAGAAAATAATCTTATCTTTGTTGTTAAAAATGCATAATATATTTAATTTTGTGAAGGTAACTGCGTTTGAATTTATCTCTAGTAGCGCTGTAGTAAATTCAGAATTATTTCCGACAGTGGCGCCACTAGTGAGCAAACATGAAACCTTCATTACAATCACACAAAACTCGCAGTAAATTCGGATACACATACAAAGAAACATATTTAACTAAACCCACGCAGCATAATTTGTTACTAAGAATAAGCGATAGAAGCATAATTTTAATATAAATTAATGAAACACTGAATCATTTATACACTCACTCGGAATGTACTCAATTCCATTGATGCATGAAAAATGTTTAGAAAAATGACAAAGTTACTATGAACATGAACGAAAAATACAAAATACTATTTTATATACCATTCAACTAAACTTACCTATCCCAGTTCCAAATACGAAAATAATTTAAAGAAACTGACACACCAACTCAATAATTATATTTTTCATTTAATTTAGAGTATTTTATCCTATAAAGTATGTACAGCAAAGGCAATAGTAATTTGTGTTTTTTTTAAATTGACCTAATGTAATACTATCATACCACACTGACCATAAGTGTATAATGTTATGAGTAGAATTTACTTGTTAGCGATGGAAGTTATTTGTGTACAACTGTGCATACATATATATGACATATACATGTCTTTTTCGTAAAATTTAAAGGAGACCTTTGTTTAACAATGCAAGAACTCCGACCGACGATGATGAAGAAATTTATCAAATCAATTTTGGGTTTGAAACATCTAAAATGTAATTTATAACAGGCAATGACATATGTTATGTTACAATTCTCCGAAGATTCACAACAATATATGTTGTTGATATAAGGCTACGCCCTTGGTCAGCAAGAGTTGATGGACGCTAAGTACTCGTTGTATTTCTTCTCCTGCGCTTGCTGCAATTTCTGCAGCTTCTTCACAAGTCCTTTACTGAGCTCCTTACCTTCGTGGTCATGTGTTGGAAGACCCTGAAAGTTATTTATCTTTAATGACCAATACAAAATCATCCTACACAAACTGTTAAATCATTATCACCTTTATTGTTTTGTTATAGTGTCGAAAACCTACTGACGATCAGTCTTTACCTACTTAGATTATTGTGCTGTTATTAAATAAGACTATTGTGGAGTCGTTTTCTTCTATATTAATCATTTTTCCTAAATTTATTGTATTATATTTAAAGAGAACAACATTACGTTTACGATGAAAGTAAGGCTATCTGAATTGATGATGGAAATCAGTTTGGAATAATTAAACTATGATAGACAACTTACTTTATCATCAAACTTGGAATATTTATCTGTCTCCCGTTTAAACAGTTCCCCGGGGGGTATCTTCTTAAGTTCCTCCTTAGCACGCTGCGCTTCCAGTAACTCTAGCTTCTTCTTTTGTTTCTCTGCTTCGAGTCTCGCCTTTTCTTCCCGCTCTTTCATTATTTCCTCTTTACTCACTAATTTAACTACTGTGCGATCTGAAACAAATATTTTTTGTTTCTTAGTTATCTTAAACACGAATGCTGAAATGCACTTTTGCTACTTAACCGGCGTAGCTGGATGAAATAGGTTGCAAAGTGGAGTCCCGCGTGGGAAAAACTGCGGGTTATTCTTATCGAAATTACTATTATTATTTAAAAAGTCTGTATATGTACATGTATGTACTTACAGAGAAAGACATCAACCCAGTCAATTAAGACTAGATGCCGATATCCAAACTTTATAAGAACCACTTTTGGAAACACTAGTACAAATATGGACTGCTACATAATAATATTTAAAATACAATAAACAAAATACGAGTGTATTTACCCGGCTTATCCTCCAGCCTGACGCCCAGTTCGGGCAGGTCGTGGTCCCTTAACCTGTCGCAGAGTGCGAGCACGGCCGGCGCCTGCGCAGCGCGCGCCGCGTCGCGTACACTGCTGCGGAACTTACTCAACGCTTCCAGGTACGGCATCACTGTGTCTTCTAACTGTGGAGTCAAATAAAGCAAATATTTTTAATATACTTTAAATGAATTATTACACAAAAAGACTTGAATTCTACGATTTAAGTTGCGATACTCACGCAAACATTGTTTCCATCCGACACAGGGAAGCCGATGCCTCCTCGTGGTCCTTCAACAGCTCCGAAGACATGCAGTATGTCGGTGACGTACCGCGCGGCGGCGGCCAGCAGCGGGGAGGGGCGCGGCGTCGAGTGGCGCAGGTATACATGCGCCGCGCCCACTAACTCACGGAGAGCGTCCAGAGCACTGCGTGTGTCGATGTTGTCTGCAAGGAGAATAATATTATTTATTATCATCAATCTCGCTGTTGTCACTGAAAAATTAAGGAAGGTAGCGGGCAATTCTCGGTGGTAACTATAATGTAGAACTCGTAACGTAATAAGTACCTATATTACCCATATCAATTAATTTTATACTAAATCTAATATATATTTATGATATAGCAGCTAGATCATTGGTTTTAATTTGACCGAAAAGGCACTCTGGAGTGTCATGATGAAATTTTAGTCTATCTATCCGACAGGTGATCGTAAAAAATAAGTACAAATTAAAATGTTTCTTTTATGTAATAATAGATGAAATTAAGTGCATAAGTGTGATTGCATGTAAAACACGAAAACAAAAATGATTTAAGTTTGTTTTCGTCCGCGTTTCGGAAGCGTCCATTACACCTTGTATTTTAATAGACGAATTTACACAAGTTTTATGACTTCATATACGTAGGTAAAGGTGTTGTCTATTGACAGCCCCACTTACCGCAGAGCGCGGCATGTACTTGTTCCTTGACGGCGGAGAGTTTATTGGACAGTTGTAGTTCCTGCTCGTCCCATACTCCGCCGCTGCCCTCGTCGTAACCACTACGCAATGCATCTTTGACCGTCAGGAAGAATTCCTAGAAGAACACATGTTTAGTTATTTATTTTACTATACAGATGATGATAGATGGCAAGATTTTTTTCGATAGATTTCCGACTTTAATACATAATAGTTGAATTAAAAATCTATTAAAGAAAAACAAAATGGAGTAAGCATGCCTAATACTCAGAAAAGTCATTGATACCTTCTTGTATGGAATTCTCAGTATAACTCAAAAGTTATTCTGTTATAAGACAAAAATAAGAAAATGTTATAAAATTAAGTATACCTAGGTATACTAGGTTTTAGAGATATGAAAATGTATAGAATAGCCGTAAACAAACTCACATTAAACAGTTTCTCCAACTGTATCGCCATATCCATGGTGTTGTCCGAATAGTCGAGGGTTTCCTTCCAGCCGTGCATGAGGAACCCAATCCTGAGCTGTCTCGCAGTGTGACGGCGCAACGCTTCCGATATCGTGACGAAGTTCTTCAGAGACTTGGACATCTTGCAGCCAGCTATCGTGAGGTGGCCAGTGTGGAGGAAGTAGTTCACCCAGCCTGGCTGGTCGAAATGAGCCTAAAACAAATTTGAACATTTTAAATCAAAGGTTAACAATTCTTTTACAAACTACCTACGTTTGAAAAAACCGACTTCAACCCCCTCTTTTCCCCTTCCCCGGTCGGTTAATTAATATACTAAAACCTACTACGAGTAACAAACATTTCTTTAAAAACCGCGGCTAAATCGGTTCAGCCGATTTCAAGATAATCGCGCACGAACATACATCAGGTCAATCTGAGAACCTCCTTCTTTTTTTGAAGTCGGTTAAAAAAGTACGGGAAAATTCCAACAAAGTATTTTTGTTGTTTTTTTTCTCTCTCTTCTTTCGGCAAACGAGTCTCCAAAACGATCTTGTCGACTATACTGCCAGTGTCCAGTGGTGACGGCAGTACCGTCAAAATTAACTTTGTGGTAGTATTCAGGTGTCCATGGGTGACAACGATGACTTACCATCAGGTGATCCGTACGATCCGTATACGAGTTATACCGGCTTATGGCATAAAAAGAAAAAAATATTCCATATTTCACAAATCAATATAAAAGCTTTCTTATTAAAAAAATAGATTACATCAACACATCAGAGTATCTGATAAGGCGATATAATCTATTTCAAAATAATGACATTCATTTTTGTTTTCCAAGTAAGTGATATAATATGATTGTGATGACATCACAAAGCACTATGTTGTACAAAATTCATAGAAAGTTATCATTTGAGTGGTGGAAAAATGTTGACAACTTGTCAACATCCCTATCAGTGGTGATACTAACCTCACTTTGAGCAAGCTCGTTGTCATGATGGGGGAACTTGAGGTCAACGCCCCCTGTGTGTATGTCCAACTTGCTACCAAACACGTCTGACGCCATGGCGGAGCACTCGATGTGCCAGCCCGGCCTGCCCGCTCCCCAGGGCGACGACCATGAAGGTTCGCCGGCTTTACTCCGCTTCCATAGAGCAAAGTCATTTGGAGATCGTTTCTCGCTCGTGTCGTCTGTTAGATCACCTGAAGAAGAAAAGTAAACATAATTTATTAGGTATGCATCATGGGCCTATGTATAAAAATACTTTATCCTTTTAACAGTAGTTGTTAATTACAGCAAAAGTATTTACCTTCTCCCTCTTGTAATGACTTTGTATCACCATAAGCTTCGGGCACTAATCTTGCATAATAGTGTTTGTCATTCTTATCAAAGTCACTGACACTGAAGTACACTGAGCCATTTGATTCATATGCGAGACCATTATCTATTATCTTTTCAATAAACTTTATTATTTGTGGTACATATTCACTCACTCTAGTTAATACGTCTGGCGGTAATACCTGTAAAATTAATAAACATGATATTAATTTCTACATTAATATCATAAATTCAAAAGTTGTGATGGATGTTAGTTGATCATTTCAGAATTGTTAGACCGATCTGAATGATAAAATCCTGAATTAAATTACTTACATTTAATGCTTTCATATCTTTATGGAACTCATTTTCCCAATACCTAGGCAATGCTGTGAATATTGCATTGTCTGTGACTGTGGCCCCATATTGACTGTCTAGCCATTCCGATATTGGACCCTTGGCTGATTGTAATAACTCACACTTTGCATTTGTGATTGTTGCATCATCATTGCTTTCCACAGCTGCTTTTAAGTTCTTAACTGCTGATGCAATGCTGGAAATCAGAATTACAATTTTTTATGAATTTTACTGATGAAAGAAGTGATGTTATTCCTGTGTTAAGAAGTAAACAGTGTTGACAAAACCACCATTTATGAATAACATTTGACCTATATATATATATTTACTACTTATACTTTCACTTCGTTGTTTAAACTGTCAAACACCAAGCGGTCACCGGTGACCGCAACCTATTGTTCTATAATTTGTGTCTATAATGACGGTACTCAACGAGTTAAACGAACTAGCTTTAGTATTTTTTGTCATTCTTAATAAGGTAAATCATTAACAAAGTGTTGAGTTTTCCTGTTACATTAGATATTCAAAACAAGAATAATTTTAATAAAAATGCTGATTTTATTCTTCTGTCCTTGAGATGATAATTAAGTTATTCAATTAATATTAATTTTAGACTATTAGCAGTATGATTACACAAGTACCAGTTACGTGGGTGGAAACTATTTCATAATATAACTGGCACAAGTGTGACATGCACGCTGATAAGAACTATGCATGTACTTAGTTGCTTATCTAAAAGCTAGTAAGCAATAGAACTCACTTCTGCATTGAGTACTTAATATCAATTGCATTCAAAGTCGGGTAAAGAAATTATCTTCAACTCATAAATATTATTGTTTCATTATACTACTTTGTATTTATTATGAAGTGTAGAGATTAATAACCTTAGGTATACCTACCAGTCTAACGTCTTTTGCATGGCATTCTTTTTATCAGGGTCGGTGGCTTCTTTGACAATTGTTTCATAGTAATTCACTACCGATGTTGCATCATCTATAATACAATTCAGACTTTTCTTCTCTTCAACATATTTCTCAAATAAATGATGCTGTCTCGCTCTCTTTATGATTTTGTCATCTATATCTGTTATATTCATTACATAGAGTATGTCATAGCCAAAGTAGTTGGCCATAACTCGTCTCAATATATCGAAAGATATGTAGGATCTGGAATTAAATATAAAGGGTTTATATTAGTAAAAGATAACCTGGTTTTCTCTATAGCTTTTGCAATGATATAAAATTGTAACAGACAAACCGTAAAAAGAATTATAATGTCTGCATGTGTATAAAAATGATATATTTATATTGTTTATTGATCTTTTAGCACTAAAAATAAGAGACTAGTGAGGATGTAAAGCTTCCCAGGAAATACAATAGCCTTTTACAATGGTCAAACAACAAAAAGTATCTCATTAGGTGTCTGTTCATTAGTGTTGTGTAGGTTACCATCATGAGCCAATATTAACTTAACATTTACATACAATCTATTTACTAGTTTTCAACAGACATTATACTCATTACAATGTATTGCAGGTAGAAAAATCATAAAAAACCAATAGTAAACCAAGTATACTCTACCTGGCATGGCCCATATGGGAGGCGTCGTACACTGTAGGCCCGCAGCTATACCAGTTAATTCGATTGCCATTGTCGCACACAAATTCTTCCTTTTGCCTAGTCAAGCTGTTATATAGCTTTAGAACCGGCTTCTTCCCGGGTTTAACCGGTGGGGACCAACTAGGTTGACTTCTTTTAGACATTGTAAATTTTCACACATAAAACTACTTTGCTATTAATTTGTACTTTAAGTACGTGCACTATAGTTAAAAACCTTTGTGTTACTTTAATAAAATTTCAAGTTATCACTTATTAAAATCTTATTTCGCCACGTACTGAACATATGATGCATGACTATTTGACACTTGCAGCACAATCTGACAACGACCGAATAACCTTCTGAAATTTTGAGGTTGACAAGTATAGTGAAGTCCAATTCAATTTTTTTTAGTAAAATTGTCTATGCAAAATCCATTAACTAAAAGTAATGGTACTCGGTGAAAACGTTGTTTCATTTTAAACTTGTCTTCAACTTTTCTCACCTTATATCCAAATATCCAAATACATAAAGGCTACTCAATTTTAAGCCACGCTTAAGTGTAGGTATGTCCCTGCAAATTCTTGATAAAATATAAAGATGGCACGATATTTAAGTATTCGTACAGGCGTTAGTCATGCTAAATTAATTTTTTTCACAAATATTTCATTATAAGATTCTTATTATAATTTCCTAACCCATTATTATTTTTAATGATTTCTAGTCGATTCTACTTAGAACATCGCACAATAACAATGAATACAACGCACAACAACACTATCTATAAAATGGCTGAAATGGCGTTATGTATGAGTAGAACATTAAGAATATGCTTTATTTCTTTCTTTCATACATGAAATGAATGGACAACAATAGCCGGTAAAAGAAGACGATGATATATCGATTTGTGTGCCTCTGATTTTGGCCGCTATACTCCTTGTTGATTTGTGTGAATGTGTGCGTTGTGAACAAAAATAACTATCTATCTATACGTACTTCTACGCGTTTATCTGAAAGTTGCGACTACTGTACTCATATTTTACTTAATTTTTTGTGTATTTTTGTATTGTTTCGTCCAAAACACATAATCCTTCCGGATACAATGGCTCTCTGTGTTTGCAAATGCCTAAATGTAACTCTTGAAGGTGATAAAATTGAAGACAATGTCGATATTGGGAAACTGGAGTTAACATCCATGGAACAAAGGGATATTTTTTTCAGTGAGGTACCGTCAGTAAACATGTCTTGACCTTGACTTCTATGAAGGGTTTTCGTTGCTTGAAATATGAAAATATGAATGAAACCTCGTAGACATTCTAATGATCGTATATGCTGATATAATTTTATATGAATGTTATACATAATACACTAGTACATGTGCGTTCGGCACTTTATCTACTTGTTTGTGATCGTATTAGCAATACATAACATTATACCATTACTGCCTATTAATACTTGCTTTTCTGACTTATTTTTAGCCTTTAAATATTCATAACTGATCTTACTGCTTTCCTGTTCTGTGTACAAAACAGTGTCAAAAGAATGCAAACCAGTTTTACTGGAACAACAATTTATTATGAATATGTTTAGAACCAATTTGATATTTTGATTATCCTTTACTAATTTGCAACAATAATTATTCTTTTTATAGAAGCTGCTATCGTGCTCTTTAAGCAGCCTGAAGAGCCAGGTGACCCAACCTGCCCTGGTGGAACAGCGACCAGTGGGCAGGTGGACAGTGCACTCCTGCCTGGCTTGTGGAGACGCTACTCATGCTATATCACATGACAAAAATGGACCTTATGCATTACTTATTTCTAAATCTATTCAGGTCAGTATTCATTTCAGTGTTCAATTACATTCACTCAGCTAAATAATGTCTATTGATATGTTATAATTTATTATGAAACGCACAATTGTCTGTTTAGCATCCAAATAAAAATACATGTACTTACTCTCACATTTAAGTACATATACACTTATGTTTGTATTTAATCATTTAGATTGATTCTGTGGCCTTGCTGATTATCTTATACTGCAAACAAAAGAAAGTAAACATATGCAGTACATAGAAATATTTTACATAGTAACACATTTATTGCTTAGAGAAAAAAAATACTATTTCAGGTATTAGACAATTATTCCAATTAGTAATTTAATTTGTAAATTGATTTTCTTCGTAATTTACCTTATTATCAATAGTTATTAGTGTCTGTATTGAACTTAATAAAAGCTTATGCTAATATTGAACATGTTAACATCACAATCTTATCACCAGCAAAGATAAATCATTGTCCATGACTTATGGATTTACCTGTTTATGTTACAGACTACACAAGACCGGATTAATAATTTGAAAAAGTCAAACAATTATTCACCTGTATTTAATTTATTAGTGCCAGAGGTAACTAATGATATGGAGATGAAGGAAAATGTGGATACAAACAATGTTATAAACAGTGATAGGAATGTGTGGCTGCCGACCCAGCAAGTGATCGGCACACTCAGTAAACAGTTGAATCAGACTCTGCAGTCACAGCTGGAGGCAGTTGAAGAGTCAGTCAGGCAGTTCAGAGATCAGAAGTATGCAGAGTTTGAAGCCTATAGGGAGAGGGCTCAAAGAGATCATAAAATTTTAGCTAGGTATGTTGTCTGATTCTATATTCAATCATTACATACCTTAGTCTAAATAATGAAATGCATCATGTATGTACTGCAATTTACCAATTGTTACAAAGTCTTACAATATAGTTAGTAGATACAATACAATGTGTGGTGTATAGAGACATGTGAACAACATGAATCTGTTGTTACAGTATCATAAGCAAGGCGCGCAATAACGTCGACCGAGACAACTGGCGGATCGACTCGACACTTGACAATGGACCACCCTCCCCCCATCTACCCCCTCTACAGAGGAGAAGGCTGTCCTCTTTCAAAGATGCCAAAAAAGTCACTCAGAATTATGCTAAGGTACCTAGTAAAGTTTGTCTTCCTCAAGTTGTTTATCAGTAAAATTGATTTACCTGTTTTGTATGATCAATCACTTTAGTGAGTCGGCAGTAGTAAACAAAACAATATTTAATCTTTACTTGGGCACAATGTTTTGCGGTATTTTTGTCAATAGTAATTTTATGGGTAGTGTGAAAAACATATTTTGGATGACCTACTTATGTTAAAATAATGTTTTTATTTTTCACAACTCAAACATGATACATTACCAAATGTTGAATCCATTCATAATAAATTACGCAATTTGTTTATAACTTTCAAAATATTCTATTAAGTTGACTTTGATAAAGATAACAATTGCCATTGGTAGTAAGTATTAATTTACAGTTCTGTTTATGTTATTAACTTACAACCACCATACAATACGGAGGAAAAATACGCGATAATTGATAATATTGTGTTTACATACAATGGCACATTTCAATAATTGCTGGAACTGGCCGCATGTAACCAATACACATGTTATTTATTATTTACATACTATTTCATTGCACAGGTGCGAAATCACACCGTTTTGTTAATTACATTATGATACCAAACTGAAAATAAAAACTTTTTGAGTTAGTATGTGAGAACTTCAAGTAAAATACAGTTTTTATTTAAACTAACATACTTATCGCGATGTAGTAACAAAAGATAACGCGACAACAAAGAATAACAAATTTTTAATAATGTTCACAGCCCCCCAGAAATATGCAACCCGAAGAAGATTCGTTAGAAGCAGAAGATCTCTTTGATTTAGAAGGCTATGATTCGAGGAATAATATGCTCTCTGATCAGGACGATTATGATTCTGATCGTAAGTATAATTAGACAAATATTAATTTCATTTTATAGATATTTTTATAACCACAAATAAATCACAAAAAATACGGAAAAATACAAAAACTACTAATGATAACTGATGGATTAGTACAATTGATGCAGCAATAAATAGAAATGGGAAACAGCACTTTATTTTTTCTTATGGACCTTGGAATTGAGCCAACTATTTAGTGTAATGAGAGATTTATATGATACCCATCCCTTCTCATTGGATACTGAAACAAAACAAAATACTACTACTTTTAGCTATTTACCATGTTTTGTACATTTTTTAATAGGATGTTGCCTCACACTAGTTTTTTTTTCTGTCGTGTGTATAAAAATATACAAATTCACATGCACATCACAGACCAGAAACAACTATCTGTAGGCACTGCACCAACCTGGCAGGGAAATTATTAAAAACTATATTTTTTAATGATTGTGTTTTACGGCTTACCACCGTAATTATTTGACGAGGAACTGGACTAGTTTAGTCTAGAAAAAATAATAATTAATCTGAAAAACATAATAATCTCTATTTCTTATGTTTGGTATTAAAAATTAACTCTGTTGTTTACAGAAGGTAGTAATGACGAGGGTATCCATATCTCTCGTCCTCGCGGCGGCGGCGGAGTTGATATGATAGCACGTTCTCTACCTATGAATATGCCAAAGTTCCCCGTTGACAGACCAAGTCATCGGGATTTGGATGATGATGTAAGTATTTCCCAACTTGTTTATTATATTTATGTAATACATATTGTGTTTATTTGATGATTGTAGAATTAATCACGTAACATTTCGATTACAGAATAAATATTTATTGAATTTATTACAGGAGGACCCGCAAGATATTGCGGCGAGTATCAAGGCACTGGCTCGGTCAGTGCACGGCGACGTGTACGAGCTACCGCGGCCGCGCTTCTCCACCCAGATCTAGCGAGCCTACCCTCGCACCTTCCCCGATCTCCCCCACAGTCCGTGTAACATGTTACAAACAAGTACATGGGCAGCCCCCGCTTTAATATACTAAATCATTCAAAGTTATCTCGTCGAGTTGTGCATGACTGGTGTGCTTGAGTTATACATACACTTGCCACACATTGGTGCTTCATATTGTGATCACAGTGACCCTAAACCCAAATTATGAGTATAATGTGACTAACAAAGTAACAACTAGTGACAATACAAGCTACATTAAACAAACAGATATAATATGGCAGCTATATTTTAACTCCAAACGCTTAACAAAATGGATACTTGGGAGTGTTATAATGTTATGGATTAAGATAGAAATATATGAATGGTAATAGAATATAAGAGGCTATAATATATTACGGTAAGCAGATTAATTATAAAAAAGATAAAACACCAAATTGTTTCTAATGCAATTAATAATGAAATTATAACTGATTTGAACATAGTTTTCTATCATACATAATTTTGAATTAAACAATGCCATTTTTGTTAGATTTCGATAAGTACATACTTGTAATTTTAATGAGAACAATAAAGTGTAATTGTGATTCAATAGATGTGATATGTTGATGTGGTTCAATGTATCCATGGCTAGAATATAATTCGTAATAGACCATCAATTACTGCAGAGTCAATTAAAACATGTAACAAATCATATAGTGCTATATTTGTGTGCTTAATGTTCAAATGCTTGTTGTAACGACTACTAATACTGATATAGTCTAGCCATGTAAGAGTTAATGGATATAAAATAGAGTTTGACAAGATAATGTTATAGAGTTGACCTAAGATAATATTGCCATATTACTGTGAAATATTCTTTTCGGCTGTCGAATGTTGTCGTACCTATTAATTATAAATGTACGTGCGAAAGTGTCTTGGTGTCAGTGAATATTGTTAAATGTATGTAAATATAATGAAAATTTTATAGATGACAAGTAAAAATATAACTATGAATTGTTAACATCTAAGTCATATCCATGTTAATAGACTTTTCTATTATTTTTATCTGGTGTTATCTTAATGATAAGTGAAAAGTGTACAAAAATATGAATACCTTGCATTTCTTACTAGTCTTTTAGGGTCACGAAATATTTTTTCATTGTTAACATTATTTTCAGTAGGTAGTTATAAAATCGCAAACATAAAATCATAAATTGTACATAAGAGATCATTGTTATTACGTTAAATAACGATACAATATTAACTTTTATAATCATTTATTTTTGTACCCAATATTTTGAATGTTTAAGTAAAAGGTTAACAGTCAGAAACAGGAGTAGGCTTCCGTGTCGTGACATCTCGTTTGTATCGTTTATCGTTTATTTTGTATAACTTGCTTAGTCTTTAAGTTAGGATACTTTACGTTTTCTTATCTCGAGTGAAAATTGAACAAGTGAAACATATTTTCAGCGTCTTCCAATAGCACTGATTTATAAAATTAAAATATGTTTTTTAATGTGATGTCTATTTCAGTCAGTTGTTTTTATTTTAGCTAAAACTAATAAATTGTTTCACTGGTGTGATTATAATGAGATGGACCTTGATTGTATGTATTAGAAGTAATAAATATTGAACGTGTATATTTTGCCTTATTATTTTAGTTATAGAAACAATAATTTAGAACGGCAACTTGCGGCAGTATTTAAAAAAAATACTAAGAAGATTCCATGATTAAATCTGACTTTGACCTATTATCGTCGACCTCTGTAGTTGATATGACATCGGTTGCTATAGTTACGGCGTCACAACAAAGGCTGTAATTTTTGTCGAAGACGGTGTATCGGAGATAAGCTTTTTTAGGTGTTAATTTGCGCTACAACAATGTTAAGTTCGCGTTATTATAGTGCCTCGCGGCTGGGTACGGATGCGAAGCCGCGAACTGCTATGGTAGTTGACGAGGATGACGAATTGTACGCAGGATTTAATGAGGTGGCTCCCGCACTGGACACTCGCAACCTGCGTGAAGACCATGACTTCCAGGAGACACTGCGCACGACCGCCATCGGAAGGAAACTGCCCAGCAGAATGGGTACTGGGGTGAGTGGTAATCACAGTTTTTTTATTTTTCGATTACCTACTACGACGCACGCCACGTGCCAACAAAACTCGAATACACAAAATGAGGGACATGACCCTTCAATGATTATTATGTCTATTATGTAAATTATGAGTGGAATTATTATTAACTATTAACGGTGCACTTTTTTTCCTATTGGGTATATATTTGAGCAAACCTCAAATATTTGGGGAATAAAATGGGTGATGTTTCTATTACCACGCTTCTGAAATAGGTAATACCGATTAAAATTTGAAACTTATGACAAGTGACAAGTACCTAGGACTCCAAAATTCACCTTGATTTTTGTTTTTTTATTTGTTGCCCCACATTAGTAGTTTCTTGTGTTTCGTGGGTAGCTTTACAAAGATACAATTTCACATGCACATGTCACATGCTAACAGCAATTTGAGCGTCTCACTAACAGTGACTTCGTGCGGCAATTGAACCCGCTAAACGTTGCGCGGCAGTCGGTTCTCGTTCTTTAATGGTCACTGCAGATTTCAGAGTGATCGTATAAAAGTCCGCTCCTAATATAATATTCTATGCTTCCAGATGATGCGTATGGGCACGGTGAGTGTCCGTGCAACCAGTTCCCGCGCAGGTACTGCGGCGCGGCCTGTCACTGCCGTGCGAGCTGCAGGTTATACATCTACTACCAGAGAAGTGCCCACCAGAGACGATGTTAAGGAGGATAGGTACACTAATTCAGAGTACCTATAATTAGTTTAGTCACTAAACCGGACGGTTAAGATTGAGATATGGTGTTTCCTAGTCAAATCGGTCAGGAATAATGGAAACTCTCCATCATCTCTTAAGGGATTAAGGTCGACCTAACCCTATAAACCTGTATACAATGGGCTCATAGTCTATCTTTAAACTATGATAATAATGATGATGATGATGATGATGATGATAATATTTTTTCTTACACAGTATTGAGGAACGAGTAAAACAAATGGAGGCTCGCATAATGACGCTGGTTGAAGAGTCATGTATGCTCAGTGCACGTTCAGACCCTGATGACGATACTGCACCAAAGAAAGAGCTCGACTTAGGACAGGTAAGCCGAAATCAACTTACTTTCAATGACATTCGGTTTAAAATCGATCTGCATTATTGGAATGTTTCATAACTTTTATAATTTACGTATTCTAAGGCTCTGGCCAAAGCACAAGAAGCATCAACGATGGAACGACAGTTGATTCGAATGCAAGAACAAGCTAATCTTGGTGACACACATAACTTGGATCTTACTTTTGCTGTAAGTGTTATTTATAAACATTTAGTTTATTTATCATTTCCTTATTATGAAACAAAATGTATACTTATTTAACTTTCTTAGTTCTTTCCCTCGTATTAATTAACGGCCATACGGCTTGCTCACGTAACTGTTCAGCGAGAATACTTTACTGGTTTCACGATAGGGGCCCATAATCCTAGCAGCATCAAGCATCTGCGACGATCTTTAATGCGTCTGGTGTAATTAATTTATTATGTCTCATGTCACAGTAGCTACTATACAAATTGTGTGATAGTTGGTACGTTAAATCAAAATTGCATAATTTCAGGTGCTGTGCAATTTGGCGGGACAGTACGCGCTAAATGAGATGTATACCGAGGCATTAAACACGTACCAACTGCTCACCAGAAATAAACTATTCCCTCATGCCAATCGACTGAAGGTATGTGTTCATTAAACCATTTTGTAAACAATCCTATTTACCAGTGTTACATTAACTTATTAACAATATAAAAAATACTAACATAACATACATATATTAACATATGACATCACGCCTTTTGTCCCCGAAGGGGTAGGCAGAGGTGCACATTACGGCACTTAATGTCACTGTACATTGTAACACCCACTTTTCAGTTTCACTATTTATGTTATGAGTCCCATGTAGTAGGGGGTGAGCCTATTGCCATATACAGGGCACAATTCCAGACTCCGTGCTACTACTGAGAATTAAAAAAAAACCAGTAATGCTTTGTCCGACCTGAGAATCGAACCCGAGACCCCATGCTCGGCAATCGCACTTGCGACCACTCGGCCAACGAGGTAGGCAAAAAGTACTAGGTAATTCTTCAGTACTCATTTATTTAAAATTAATAATCTTAACGCGTTTTGTAGGTGAATATGGGGAACATCTACTTCAAAATGGGGGAACACCCAAAAGCTTTAAAATTGTACAGAATGGCTCTAGATCAAACACCAACAGCTGAGAAGGATTTGAGGTATCTAAACATTTGTAATTGAAATATTGTCAAGCAACACGTTTTATTTTCTAAGTTTTAAACGCTGTGTTAGTATTGCATAGTATTGGTGTTAAGCAGTAGATTTTTCTTTATTTTGTCTCTTTCTTTCGTATTCAGAATGAAAGTGATGCACAACATAGGCCTTCTATTAGTACGCATGGGAAAGTTCCGCGACGCTGTGACAAATTTTCAACATATCATGCATGAACAAGGAGATTTTCAGACTGGTGAGTCAGAACTGTATACAAAATTATACCTTATACTTGAGATTAATAATGTTTTTAGACTTTATTTTTCATCATCACCATCTAATAGGTTTGTTTTACTGGTAAAAGAAATAATGATCCACATCCACACTCGCAGACGGCCTGCGGCTCGCAATAATAATAAGTTTTAGAGGAAGCTGTTAGTCATCCCTAATAGTACATAAATAAAGTAATAATTACAATGAAGTCCCATATGTTTGTTGGCAGGTTTACACTTAGTGCTATGTTCGGTGGCGTTGAACGACGCTGAAGGTGCCAAAGCGGCATTTCACGCCATGCTGGACGTGGAGCCGCCCACTTTTCACCAAGACATTAATATTGATGACGTGAGTAATTTGCTAACGTTAACCACATGAATTTTTGAAGACGTAACCGTACAGGCTGCATGTTCATAAGTGCAAGAAAGTAATTCATCAAAATGTTGTATGAATCGTTTTCTTTTCAAAAGGAAAATAATTGAGAACAAAGATAAGATGGCTTAATTGTATGAAGCACTAGGCAATAGCAAATGGAGTTTATAACATGAAAGCAAAAAGATGTACTATCGATCCTTATGGGATAAGCGGAATTAAAAGAAGACATGTTACCACGCCTCTACTAGTTTGACACGTGAAAGACTTCTGCTTTTACACAAATAACGTATATCTGATCAATGACTATTACTGCATTATCAGGAAAATGATGCATACGAGTGCGTAGTCCGCGACGTGGTGCGTGGCGACCGCCTGTCGCGGTGGTCGCGGCGCGGCGCGGCCCACGCCGAGCGCTGTCTGGCGCTCGCTGCCGCCGCCGCCGCCATGCAGCGCCCGGGCTCCAGGGGACCGGACTCTGGGTATGTTGCGCCAGGTCTTATATTAATGAACACTAGCACCTTCACATGGTGACTACGTTAATTCAGTGCATAAAATAATAGTGTGTAATTGTATGTAGCGGTATGTCATGGTGTGTGGAGGCATTACGTGGCTACAGCGGCGGCGCGGCGGGCGCTCGCCTGGAGCTGGGCGCCGCGCTGGCTGCCCTGCGCACGCGCGCCACGGGGCCCGCCAGCGGCCCGGGGGGCCCGGGGGG